TGCGACATTAGACGTAATTTGGGGCATATCTTGCATCAGAAGATGAAGCAAGACAGAAATGGCTTTATAGACACGCAAACTTAAGGCAGAAGGGTGTTGTGCTGAGGTCATACGACTTAACAACTCGCAGCTCATGTCTAATGGGAATAGCTGATAAACGTGAGGTGGATGAAAATAGTCTAATTAATACAGTGATAGTATGGGTGGATTAGTTGTCTTCTAAAGGGAGCCCAATAAACGCAGGTTGTATGTAAGGCTTGTAAATGTATAAGGATACTGTGGTAAGTCCTGCATTTCCCATTGACATAAGCGAAGTAGCTAAGTTGCCGTGACTCAATGTATTCAGAAGTGTGTCTATACATAGTTGGGAGGGTTTCGCTGACCAGGTAACAAAAGAAATACTCTGAAAATTTCTCTAATGTGGTTTATTGAAATACGTTTCTATCACATCTATCTTCTGACCTATGTTGTATTTTAACTCTTACTCGGGACACTTATAGCTCTGCTCCACGTTGTCCAGTATCTTTTGTCTGTGCCCCTATTATTCAACTTTGGTTGTGATTTACATTAGTTATTTAATTTTGCTGTTGTATGTCCTAGGGCCATCTAAGTGAGGACGTATTTGACTAAGCACAAGCTTATGGCGTAGTTCTGTAGTAGCATTGGGCCCTAACACGAGACGATATGACAAATAGACATTCAACTTTTAACGCTGGGAAATGATCAACAATGAAGAAGGCGGGAAGAATAATTTGAATAAATTTGAGTCGATCGTCTGGCATGGCTCGGCCATGCAGGCGTGGTCCCTTCTAAATGTTACGTTATATCTTTTGTTCATATTAAATATACTGTTCCATCTCTAGCCTAACATTGTTCTATATCATGTATTGGTAATTGTTATGACGCAGTGAGTTGGTGTAGATGATGATGCCACTTCCACGTAAGATCTCATAGATTAGGCAGTTACATCATAACAAATCTACAACTTTGGGATTAGGTCTATTATCAGAGCAGTGCTAATATCATAGTAGACCATAATTCTACAGTTATATAGATGATAATTGACTTTTGTTTGCCTCCTGAAAGTGTTACTTGAAATCTTTTAGAAAGCTTTTTGATCCCGTCTTGTTTGGAATAATTCTACTGACTTTCAGGTACCAAACAACTATCAATTAATCATTCCCTTTGTTTCATACTTAAGATACATGAACGTTGTTTTGTCCAATTGAACAAAATTTGGTTCATTAGCTAATAGTTTTGATACAATACTGAAATTTTCATCAGTACGCGCATACTTGCACAACATTTTTCATTAGACTCTATCACATATTTTCGTGCGTATTTTTTGTGTTATTGTTTCCCATAAACTTTCATATGATATTGTAGCGTGTTGTCGAGTCGCGCTTGACTATGAACACCGCTACAAGAATACTACGTGCCAGTTAACCAATAAAATCCCCATAGGTCAATATCAGAAGTCAGATGATGGCTTTAGTCGAGATGTATTTGCTGGCGATCTCGTGGTATCGAAAGAATACCGAAATCATGTCAAAGGAGTACAAGCGTAAGTGTTAAGCGTAATCGAATTCGTAAAAGTTCAAAGTCAACGAGTGAGTGAGTGTAAAGGCTGTAAATATTGCAGTTTAACAAACGAGAACAGTAAAACAATCACTGGTACAATTGGTTATAATAATAATTGTTTTCATTGAACCAATCGCGTTCTGTTGACAAAAGTAAGTCACTACAATATCTTCGAATACTCTGGAGAGAGCTTTGTGAGGATGCTTAATATAAACATGCTTGGTAAGTAAATTCTGTCATTAGTCCCAATCTTCATAATTTCTCCTAATCTGTACAATCAAATTTATGAACTATAACATCAATCCTTAGTTAGAATCTTAACTTTTACGTTGCTTACTTGTTTCTTCTTCCATCGCACGTTTATCTTAGCTCATAAATTTAGCGCTATGTATACACTTATAAATCACCAACTCAGGTGATCTATGTAGATTATTGGGGCTTCTTAAATGGAGTGGAAATGATGACCTTCTAGCTTACGGAGAATTCATACCCCGCGTTTAATGTCTAACTGTTCTACATCAAGTGACCAGTTAGCTGAATGATTTGACCAGGTCTTAGTGAAATTTTATTAGCCCTACAATGAAGCACTCGTATCAAAATACATGGCAGTCATGACGACAGTGATCAAGTATGATGATTAGAAGTATTTGAATTATAGTACGAACTAAGAGTCCCAGGGATAACGCAATTGAATCAAGAAGTACTACACAAGCACTAACGAATGTACTGTATTTAGAATTCGAAATCAAACATTCAACAAGTACAAAGAAGTCATTAGTTCATTCAAACACCACACCAAGACACCAGGAAGACGACGCAAATCCCTGGAAACAGTCTCATGAAAAAAGTATCCACATTTCAAAACTATCAGCCAAAGAAAACAAAACGATTGTGTAGTCAACTGGTTAAAACAACCCTTAACGAGGACATAAGGACACCTCTCCCAAAAAATATTGGTTAAAAAAACAAGTGACATATTGAAGCTAGAATTCTTATTTGTGATAAATTCATTACCTTAAATCAGCTTCAATAAATGAAGCTACGTAACAAAAAACAAGTCAAACAATAGTACTCGTTACTACACCGGAGAAATACAACATTCAGCTGCTCACTCGGAACTAGGAAACATATTACCACAGTTCCAGTAGACAAAATGTATGCTACAATGGTTACGGACAAGATGGATTATATCACGAATGCTCAGAAGCCATTTGGAGATGGGAGTAATAACAAATCAGTGGACATAAACACAATCGAAAATGGTATTAGTAAGAAAAACCATCAGTATTATACGGAGAAATTCAAATACCTCACATTCATATCAAATTCGTGGTAAGGTTTTTCAGAAGAACACTTAAAGTTTCACAAATAAACCATAAAACCTATAAAACTCAAACCTACCAAATAAATCTGTACGAGCTTGCAATCCATCCCTGTCTCAGTTCACTATATTTATTTTCGTGTGAAACTTAATCATAGGAAACCATGTTACCTTCGTTAAAATGATAATATGAAGAGTATGTTGGAAGCTACGAGTATTAGCCGATAAAGTTTTGATACAGTAAACCGTAGAGGATCTTTCAAGTTGCCCAAATCTGAAGAAACAACCGCTCGGATTGAATACGTTTATCCAGTCCACATACAAACGTTTTGTCAATTATATAGGTTTAAGTAGAAAACAACTAATTATATTACTATCCACAATTACGAAAACACGAAGCTTAATCACATACATATATCACGTCAGATTTCATTAGAACAAATTCTGAGTTCCATTTCACAACGATCTCACATAGTTATTCTCAATGTTCTGTCTCATTCCAAATTCGAAACACACATTAAACCGATTTATGATATCACTTTCCCAAATGGAAAACGGAAATCAATGTTTCTTATATGTGGGTGAGTATTCGAAGCACACCATTACACCATACAACCAACCATAATCCGACAAGTATTTTATGCCAGTAATACTCTCATCAATCAAATACTCCCAAATGAATAATGAGAAAACACTGCAGTGAGACTGAGACTAACCTTTGGAGTTCCGAAATGAATTTCCATTAAAGTACTAAATAGCAGTTCGACATATTGGATCTACTTTACAAAATTTATGACATTTATATGTAGACTAATTTCCATTTACGAAACAAACCAATTGATCTATTCCTGACATGTATAGTGTAGAACTAATGTGAAATATGCAAACTAGAAATAGGTTATATATTTGTTAATCGAATATTCTCTTAATTCATGTATGTTAGACAACTATGATCGTAGATGTGGAGGAGGGGGGTCAAAGCAGTAAACACTATCGACGTATTAAAATCTTGGATTTTATATCTGATCATAATATACACATATAATGAAACTAGTAAATGAAAGTAACACAATGGTGGTCACTTAAGTATTCCGTATTTCAGAAAAAACTAAGGACAATTCACTCTTAAATGATAGAAATATAAAAATGTAAACTCTTATTAGCAATTACGGTTACTGAAACTGATAAAGTCGTAGGTTTTGTTACCTTAATCATTTAATATTCTGCATCCCAGTATTAAAGTTTCCATCATGACTTGAAACCAGTACGTTCCTCTACTAAAATATACAACCTTTAACACTGGATTCATGAGTACAGATAACCACAAGCATGTTGCAACGGCTATGATATTATTACGTCTTTTCTTCGTCTGTCAAAACTTGTCTCGATCTTGGTTAATGCCTAGACATGATAGGCTATCTAGTTAAACCTTGAGGCAAATTGTAACTAATGCTGTTGAAGCAGAGAGACTAAAACTTTTCTATCAACTGATTGGTTGAGAAACGAAAGTGAGAGAGATATAAGATGGGTGACATTAAACTGATTATAGTTTTTTTTAGTACCACGAATATTATCTTTTGATAGTATAATCATATAAACATCAAAGAAACACTGAATAGTTTAAGTTTTATTGAAATATATATGCTCCATAGATGGAGGAAATCCTTAAACTGCATCACAAAGCAAGCCCCAACTTGGGATCCTGAAAGGAAGCGGAAAAGATGAAGGCTATAGAACACATTAAATCGGGAAATAGAAGCAGATATGAAAAGAATGAATAACAACTAGAAAGAGCTTGAAAAGATAGCCCAGGACAGGAATGAATGGAGAGTACTAGTGGGCGGCCCATGCTCCTCCATGAGGATTGAGTAATTTAAAACTTTACCCCTACTGCACAAGTAAGTGGCCATCAAGGTTCAATATCTAACCGTACAACGCAATGGCATTTGAAGTGAACAATACTGGCTTCAAATCCGTGAATGAAAGAAAAGAACAAACTGAAAAATTCGTTAAAAATTTTACAAAATTACAATCTTTTAATTTATTCCTATTGGTTAAAATAAAGAAAAAAAATTTTTTTCAACCAATCAGAATATTGATTTCATTGGAAAACATGAAATAACAAATAGAGAATATGGTACATGACATGTTCTATTTTTTTATTTTTTAATATATTTTTTTTAATCACTAAGGCATTCACTATACACCATGTTTCCATTAATTTAATATTTACATACATAAAACAATATTGAACAAAGTGAAAAGTACCAACACCACCACCACCACCAACAACAACAACGACGACGACGACAACGACAAGAAAAAAAGAAGAGAAAAACAAGAGAAAAGAAAACATTTTAAAAAAGAAAAAAAATAATTATTTCATTTAAACAATGAATTATTATTATTCTGATCTATGATCAATGTTCATCAAAGATTTTATCGCTCTGTCGTTCATTCCTTTTTTTTTTATGAAAGATCTATACTTCTATCATTGATTATATTCTTGCATAGTAGTTAAACATATATAAAGACCAATCATTTTAATTCAATGGTAAATGATGAAAATAGAAAATTTCAGTTATGTAACATTTGTACCATTATATGGTATATCACATTTATATATAACAAGTATAATATTAAGTATAATAATAATTTGTACAATTATTGGAAATATGTTTGTTGTCATAGCAATTTTAATTGATAGACAATTACAAGTAAGTTTGTTAAATGTATTTTTATGATACTCTATTATCATTTATAGTTTTGTACTTTTATCAATATATATGACGTAATCATCATACCGCTAATTATTGATCGGATCAATGAAGTATAAAACAAATAGGAGCATTTTAAAGTCTTTATCGGTCCTTATACCTGATTAGCCTAACCTGATGAGTGCAGAACACCAATCACAGACTCTGTAATATGAATCATTTATTTCAAACATATTGGGGTTTATATGCGAACCAAACAGATCACATCGTATCAATAAAATAGGAAACAACATTTGTACAAGATTTAGCTAAATGTGACTGTGAATAAGGGAGATAGTATTTGATAGACTGGGTATAACTCAAGAATAGTAAATCGTATAATAATAGTTCACAGGTCAAAATAAAGCTTATGATAATAGGAACATGAATATGAATAGTTTAGATATTTAACAATCATACAATAAAAATATATGTATAGTATTAGTCCAGAAATACATTCCAACAGTTACTATTCAATATGCTTATCGGGATATAACATAATCTCTCTCTCTCTCCCTCACTCTTACTCTCGCTCTCTGTTTATATCTTATTTTCCGTCATTTCTTTGATATACACTAATCAGAGAAAGGTTTTTTTGTGGATAATATAGTAATTTGTAATAGTTGAATTCATGAGTCAATTGAAGCTTAACTATCATGGAAAACCTGGAAGGTCCTGGGTTCGAACTCGTGAGGTGAGATCGTGGATGATCACTGTTGAGGAGGAGTTCTATAGTGGGACGAAACGGTTATTTAGTACTTCCAGGTATTCCATGTTAGTCTAGTTTCAATTAACTCATGAATGCATTAAATTGTCTACTGAACTGGGATTAATCATTTAGGGAATTGAAATATTTCATTGAATTTGGACGATGTTTGATTAATTGAACTTTCTCATGATAATTAGGACAACAATTGATCAATCTCTATTGGTATATGAATTTCAACTCTGAAATGTAGACATATCTGATTGATGAGCTTCAAATAAGATGAAACGCTCAACCTGAATCGTATTGCTTGCAGCCAACTAACTCGGTTTGATAATTACCATCTATTCTTGTTAAAAAATGTCTAATTATAATCAGAGACGAGTTTTGTGGATACTATGGTAATTTAATAGTTGAATTCATGAGTCGATTGAAGGTAGACCATGATTATAATCATCATATGATGACTAGTCATTGACTTCAAGAGGTATATCCTGGAGTTCTAGTGAGAAGCAGTGACCACTGGAGTTCAGCTCATTGAAGACAATGGTGAATGTGTGGCTCAATTTTGTGGATGAGTTGAAGTCAGACATTAACATCATTGGATTTCAGCCAGTTCAGTGGTCTAAAAGCTAATCATTCACGAGTGCGACCGATATGACCTAGGTTCGAATCTCGCGAAGTGGGATCGTGGATGGGCACTTCCAAGGAGGAGTCCCATACTATGACGAAACAGTCGTTCAGTAACTTTCAAGTTTTCCATGATGGTCGAGCTTTAACTGACTCATGAATTCAACTATTAAATATATAATTACACTGTGTTTGTGTACTCTGTTAAAGCTTCGGTAAAATAATTTACTCCATATATAAATCGGTTGCATTAAGAGTGGTTTTCATGCCTTTGAAATCTACTAACTTCAATTGATTAATATTTACTTCATACTTGAAAAACATTTACTGAATAAATGAGCACTCTAAGTATACAAGCTTCACTTTGCCTAATATTTCTAGAGATCAATTTCGATGAATCAGTTATTATCCTTGGAAAAACTTCAAATGAATAGTCTAATGATATTCTTACATAAAGTACTAAGGTGGATCGATCATATGAGCATTTTATTCTGGTAAACTTAAGCCGAGATCAATACAACTTTGAATTTTTCGTTTGTGAACTACAGCCACTATCTGATTCTGAAGTTCGTTTGAATGTTCTAGCGTGTATAGTACAAAAGATCCATTCATGACTCTACAAGATGGAACAGATAAGTTCAAAAGTATTGTAAATTTCAAACGCAATGCAAAACAGTAGAGAACATGGGAATGTAATGTAATTTCACAAAACCCTTTGATCAATTAAGAAAGAAAACACAACTTATTGATTGTCTGATGGTTGACATCATGGGGATAAGTACTAATAGAAGTAAATAGCTGTAATTAATGTTAGCGATTCATTCATGACATTTTCTGATATAGAGAAATTCCAGTTCGTTTCTGATAAGAAATTCATTAAGATATAGTTTACTTGAGTGGACATCAAACTATTACTTCCATTTACTAGTTTCATTATATGTTTGTATTGTGATCAGATGTACAAAACAAAGATGAATAAGTCGATAATGGTTACTGTCCACCCCTCCACATCTACGATCACAGTTGTCTAACATACATGAATTAAGAGAATATTCGATTAACAAATATATAACCTATTTCTAGTTTGCATATTTCACATTAGTTCTACACTATACATGTCAGGAATAGATCAATTGGTTTGTTTCGTAAATGGAAATTAGTATACATATAAATTTTGTAAAGTAGATCCAATATGTCGAACTGCTATTTAGTACTTTAATGGAAATTCATTTCGGAGCTCCAAAGGTTAGTGTTGGTCTCACTGCAGTGATGAATCACTATTCAGTTGGTAGTACGTGAGTGATGAGAGTATTACTCGCATAAAATACTTGTCGGATTATGGTTGGTTGTATGGTGTAATGGTGTGCTTCGAATACTCACCCACATACAACAAACATTGGTTTTTATTTTCCATTTGGGAAAGTGATATCATAAATCGGTTTAATGTGTGTTTCGAATTTGGAATGAGACAGAACATTGAGAATAACTATGTGAGATCGTTGTGAAATGGAACTCAGAATTTGTTCTAATGAAATCTGACATGATATATGTATGTGACTAAGCTTCGTGTTTTCGTAATTGTGGATAGTAATATAATTAGTTGTTTTCTACTTAAACTTATATAATTGACAAAACGTTTGTATGTGGACTGGATAAACGTATTCAATCCGAGCGGTTGTTTCTTCAGATTCGCGGGGTATGAAATGTCCTCTTCATTTGGCTTTATTATTTATTTTATTTTGTTTAAACACATAAATATTGGTACAAAGGGTCACCGAATACATATGCGCCACACAAGTCACTTGATTTGTGTGTGTGCTATGTTACTGCCCGGATGCCTAAACCGAAGCAGGTGGTTTTATTAGAGGATCACACGCGGAATCTTCGACCTAAAGATCTGTTCGACAACACAGTGGAGCAACGTAAAGAGATACAGTTCCATGGTAGCCAGTGACCAACAATAGATTTATACGTCATTTATCCCCACAGGGTCATCGAGCCCATGTGCACCACTGGTTCGGAATCAGAGTTTTTTCAACTCCCCTAGGGGGATCTTCCATATCCACCAACCCGTTTAAAGCGTCGGACCTTCGCCTTTCGTCCTCTCTATTTCGTAAACAACACCCGCACCACGAGAAATCAGTGAGTAGGACTTTCCTGGTAGTGGTTGTATACTCGTGGTCATGTGAGAGCATTTCGAGAGGCAGATCTGACTCTCCTCACCCTCGGCTGTACCAGAGAATTTGAGGGTGAAATCACCCAGAAGTTTAAAATAAATCACATGATTCATGATCATGCTAAGCATAGTTCTTGTTAATTTAATACAAGAATATCATAACTTTGATAAACATCACACTCAGATAAATCAGTGTTATACCGAATAAACTATCACGCTGGGTTTCATCTGAACAACCGTTTATTCCTGTTACTCACGTACAAACAGACCTAGGATTCTTTTCGAAGTGGTTTGACGAAATGCACTAGTACAACAATCATTTAAAGCCACTAATTACTAAACAAATGTTTAGTTTTAATATGAAACTTTTCAGAAGTGATCATTGATTAACTCTCAATGAATCTAACTCATAACTTACAAATCTCTATACAACAACTGATTTCTAATAAAACAAGTGAGTTGAAATCTGATGCTTGTTTATTGTCTGTACACTGAAAGCCACATATGTGTATATTTGACGTCAGGTCGATACTTTGCAATCCTTCAAGATGATTAGTAAGGAACCAAACTCCAGTCTTTTGATGTTTGCTGAAGCCATTACCATCAGGCGTCAAAAACCTGATTTATGTGTTCAAAAGGAGATGGTTATTAATCTTTTCTTGCCTTGGTGACAGATACTCTTTCGCTGCATCTTAAATTTGTTTTCTTTTTCTGTAACCTTTCTCGCATCGTTGAGATTTAATTCAACGATCTTCTAAATTATTAATCTTAATTTATCAACTGACCTCTACTCAATATATTCCTACTCATTATGTAATCACTTGTGTTCTGGCCGTTTGAACTATCTTCACAATCCATATTGTACAGTGTTCTTTCATCACATAAGGTATATTATCAGAAGGGGTTTTGTGGAGGTTTTAGAAATTTTAATAGTTAAAATCATGAGTCAATTGAAGTAAGACCATCATGAAAAACCTGGAAGCACTGGACGGATGTTTCGTCCTAGTATGGAACTCCTCAGCAGTGCGCATCGACAATCCCTCCCGTGAGACTCGAACCCACTACCTATCAGTATATATTTACAATATTCAGTCTATTCAATTTATTTACATCCTTGCTATACTATACTATAATATTATGTTTTCAATATAACTTCCAACCAATCCGTCTTATGTTAGTAATTTAAACCCATTATGTAATTATAAGGTTTAAATTTCACAGGTTGTAAGCAGCTGACGAGACCCAGATGAAATAAAGTGAATTTTAGCTATTCTGTTAAAATCTTTCTGTTCTTTCTCTTTTCAAAATGGTAAAGGGAACTATTTGTATGAAAGTTCTCAAAAAAAACCCACCCCCCTGAACTATATTAAATTATTTGTATAGAATATGTAGTTTTATCCATTGTATTCACTTCCTCCCCTCTTTTATTTTACAGCGTGTTTCTAACTATCTAATATTGAGTTTAGCTGTGGCTGATTTAATGGTTGCAATTTTAGTGATGCCAATTAGTGCCTTAAATGAAGTTTCAAAGAAATGGTGGCTTGGTAAGTATTCAACCTACATTTATATTTTTAGATAACTTCCTCAATTAACTATTCCTAATAATTTCAATAATTGAAATCATGAGTCGATTGAAGCTAGACCATCATGGAAAACCTGGAAGCACTAGACGATCGTTTTATCCTAGTATGGGACTCCTCGATCTCGCCCCCCGTGAGATCCTAATAATTCCTAATAATCATCAATCCTTGAGGAACACCTTAAGTAACTCAAAGATTATTCAGTAAATACTTAGAAGAACTAAAGTACTTATCCAAGCAGAAATATTAAAAGATTCCAAACTTATAATATGTAAATATGATATTTTAAGCTAATTGACGAAGCATTCATTAAATAGAATATGATACAAAGAAAATAACTTTTGAACGGTATGATTTAGTTTCTTTGAAACTAGTGTTTGTTGTGAAGTAATGTTCATTTTTAGAAAAAAAGACCTTATCTATGAATGACTGATTCAGAACGTGGATTTTAAGAAAGATTTCATTTGAAAAAAAGGTGTTTTTTAATAGTTGAATTTATGAGTCAATTAAAGCTAGACCAACATGGAAAACTTGGAAGACATTGGACAGTCGTTTCGTCCCAGTATGGGACTCCTCAGTAGTGTACATCCATGACCCCGCCTCGAGAGATTCGAACCTAGGACGTTCGATCTCACGTGCAAAAGTTGCACCTGTAGACCACTGTGTTGGCTAGCATTCAATGGTATTAATGTCTAACTTCAACTAATCTACAACATTGAGCGACACCTACACCATTATCATCAGTGAATTACTATCTCATAACAGACCTGATTGAACTCTATTGGTTACAGCTTCTAACTAAATAAACAATTTATAGAATTTGTACTTATTATAACAAATTTAACTGAATATTATTTTTAAATATAATAACCTAATGTGAATCATTTCATTCCATATATATAATCAACCACTGTTCAGTATTTACAAAGTCAAATCGATTAATTTCATTACATATATCTTTAATATTTAGAATTTATTTACAACATTATAAGCAATGATGTATAGTGGCTAACAGTGGAATCTAAGATTCACGACATTACGTCCTATTTTAGAGACTCATCAGCTGAACGAAACATGCATTCTGGATTCCACTGCTAACCATTATTCATCCTTGCTTATAATGCTTATTGATAAGTCCTGCGATTTTGAACGCTATACTCGATTCCTATGCTATTCTGAAAACCCCCCAAGCTGGAACTATACAGCGACCTGAAGGTGAAAAGTATGCGGAAAGTAATTTACTCCAAGGTTCTTTTTAATGCAGAAAACATAGGGTTTTTATAATATTTTAAATGTCCTTGGGTTTTCTCGAAGTTTCTGGAATGCTACTAAACAAAGTATCGGTGTAATAACCAACCAATCAGAACCTCTACATGTAACGTTTCACATCCTTGAGGTTTTCTGGTTAAACTCCAAGTGAACACGGATTGGATGAAATGCTTCTTACTGTTTCCTGATCCTTGTGTGTCTTTTGCGAGAATTTTTCTGGATCATCCCAACACTTGTGAATTAAGGTCATATTAATGTAATTCATATAGTATGCACATATGCCAATAAATGAATGATCAATTACAGTTCTCGATATTAATGAGAAGATTCAAGTAAACAATATTAAGTGAATTTAAACTCTACCCCCATTTTACAGGCAGGTGACTATCAGGATTCTGTAGCTAAATGGTTAACGCGATGATGTTTGAAGTGAATGGTACTGAGTTGGAATTCTTAAGTGAACGTTAACACTGAGATGTAGGATACATCCAACTGACAAGTCAGAAATAGGACGAATTGTTGCGCATTCTGGATTCCACTGCTAACCACTATTCATTTTTGCTTATAATGATTGTAAATTAAGGCAATATCGAAGAAATATGCACAATATGCATTATAATGTCAATAACAGACTGATTAATTACAGTCCTAAGTAACAATGGGAAGATACATATAAACAATACGAAGTGAATTTATTTACAACAGTTGTTTATAACTACTATATGATGTTACGTAATCCAGTAGTTTAGAATAACTAGAATGTTATTGGGATTAGATTTTATTATAAATGAATATTAGATTACATGAAAAAAAAAATATTTTTCTCATTTGATCTTCATTTAATAAACGTAGTATACATAGTTAAAGAGGTATGTTTGTTTCTAATATATGATAAGATTAAAACGTAAAATTGATTAGTTAAAGTTAGACATTAACTCCGTTGGATGCCAGCCAGCTTAATGATCTAAAGGTTCAGCATTCGTGTGGAAGAGTGAGAGACACTGGGTTCGAATCTCTAGAGGCGGAATTTTGGATGAGCACTGCTGAGGAGTCCCATACTAGGAAAAAACGACCGTCCAGTACTTATAAGTTTTCCATGTTGATCTAGATTTAATTGACCCATGAATTGAATTATTCAAATTACATTCTTTTATTCATTGTAATTTATGTTCAACATAACTTCCGTTTTCTTAATTCAATGTAATGATTATACAGTATAATATTTGTTTTGGTTTCCCAGTATGATACTTTATTCGGTATAACAAATGCCTAGTACGGCCGAGAGTGGGGATTCCGCTCTCCTTCTCCAAATGCTCTCACATGGCAACGCGTATATAGCCTCTGCCAGGGAGGTCTTACTCACTGATTTATCGTGGTGGGGGCGTTATTTACGAAATAGAGAGGACGAAAAGCTAATGTCCGAAGCTTTAACCCGGTTGGTGGATATGGAGGATCCACCTAGAGGAGTTGGAAATACTCTGATTCAAACCAATGGTGTATATGGGCTCAATGATCCTGAGGGAATGAACGGTGTATGAATCTATTGTTGGTCACTGGTTGTCATGGAACTGTATTTCCTTACGATGCTCTATTGCCTTGTGGATCAGACCTACAGGTCGAAGACTCCTGGTATGGCTCCTTAAGAAAGCCACCCGTTTAGGTTTGGGCACCTGGGGCAGTATCATGACCCTCACACACATCAAGTGAGATTTATGTGGCGTATATATATCTGATGGCCCCTTGTACCAGTATCTATATGTTCAAATAAATAAATAAAATGATTTATCTGAGTATGAATGATGTTTATCCAAGATATGACATTCATGTAATAAATTAACAAGAAGCATGTTTAACATGATGAGACACCATGTGATTTATAATAACTCTGGGTATTTTTCATAATCAAAATGGATATACAATCAATATATGTAAATGAGTGTATTTTTCAATTAGGATGGTCATTATGTTCTAGGGGGTTAATAAATCTTTATATGTATCAGTGTTGATGTTCTTATTTTGTATGATGAGAATTGTAATGGTTCTTTGTTTTACAAATAGAAGTAATAAGTGATTCGGACATATCAGTTAGCGTTTAAGAGTTCTTGCATTTGGTCGAACTCGAGAGCAACGTAAAGATTTCCAATACAATTTTGGATACAACTTGGTTTCTATGCACTCATTTATAAAATCAACATTTGTCATCGCCTCACTGATGCTTGCTCTATACTTCAGATACTCGTTGAGAACCTTTAACGCAAATGAATACTTAGAACAAACTATATCAGTTAGCGACGATTAAACATAATAGTTTCTTAGATGAACTTTCCCATTTTCAATAGGGGAATAGTTTTCAACCTATACACTTTCAAAGGTTAGGTTGTTGATATAAACATTTAAGTATTGTAGTATTTTTCAACTATTGTTTGAGTAAAACACAATGATTTGTTACAACCAAACTCATTGTTAAATTCACTTGGTATCGTTTACTTGTTTATTTCCATTATTGTTTAAGACTGTAATTGATTAGTCTCTTGTTAGCATATATGAACATTAACTCTAGGATATATGTACATCCAGCTGATGAGTCTCGAATAGAACGAAATCTGAGTCCTGGATTCCACTGCTAGCCATTATACAAAAATAATTAATGTCCATACTTAACCATAAGCATGAACTGGATGTAACTGACTATTTCACATCCCACTGTCTACTGGTTTATATATATGTATAGTCACATTTGCACGGGGAGGAGTATAGGACTCCTCGACAGTGCGCACCCATGAACCCACCTTGCGAAATTCGATCTCAAGACTTATCAGTCTCTCACACGAGTGCTTAACCACTAAACCACTGAGTTGGCCGGTATCTAACGATGTTAATGTATAGCTTCAAACAATCCAAGTAATTTCACCACTTCTGTTGGTTACCAGCTTAGTGATCTAGAGGTTTATCGTTCACGTGAGAGACTGTAGGTTCTGGGTTCGGATCTCACAATTGGGATCGTAGATGAACATTTTTAAATAGTCTCACCCTAGGACGAAACGGTCATCCAGTGCTTCCATGTTTTCCATTATGATCTAGTTTTAATTGACTCATCAATTTAATCAATAGATTACTACATTCTCCACAAAATCCCTTTCTGATAATTGATTTCAAACAATTTTGTTTGTTTCAATGGTTAAGATCATGAGTCCATTGAAGCTAGACCATCATGGAAAACCTGAAAAAACTGGACGGCCGTTTCATCCTATTATGGAACTCCTCAACAGTGCACATCCACGATCCTGCCCCCCCTGCAAGATTCAAACCCAGCACCTACACTATATTCTAGTAATTATAACTAAACATTAAATAATCCTCACTATTAGTATTTAATCAGGGGTGGGAAGGGGTAGGGGAAAGATGTCTAGTCAAATGATAAATTGTATCCTTTTTTTAACATAATCATTCTAATAACTTACTTATTCTCCCCCTCTCCCTCTCTCTCTCTCTCTTCCTCATTGAATAGGTATTCCATTATGTGATATATGGACAATAATGGATGTATTATGTTGTACTGCATCTATTTTACATTTAGTTGCTATAGCAATTGATCGTTATTGGGCAATTACACGTATAAATTATATAAGAGAACAAAAAAAGAAACCAATTTATATAATGCTTATTATAATATGGTTATTATCATTGATTATATCATTACCAACACGATTTCATCTAAAAAGAAATGATCATCTTTTATATAATAATATATATTATTATATTAATGAATGTCATATTAATAATGATTATATATTTACAATCTTTTCTACAGTTAGTGCATTCTATTTACCAATGATTTTTTTAATTGGTATCTATGTGAAAATTTATCTTGTTGCTAAGAGACGTATAAGAAAAAGATCATTACGTGCATTATCTACAATAACAACAAGAGAATTAATTGATTTACATAAAAAGAATAATATTGAACATAATGATGATGATGAATATCAAGATCATAGAAGTGATCTTAGATATTTCTTTAAAAGATGTTCTATATATATGAATAATCTATTGTTTAATTGTCCATTTAAAATCATCATAGAAACAAATTCATTACCTAGAAGTCATGAATATTTAGATATAATATCAACAAGTACAGAGAAAGATACTTCATCACCATATTTTAGTTTAGATACTATTGGATGTTCTGAGAAATATGATATAAATCAACAGAATAGTATTCATAGATCTTCAATGGAATATACAGATAAGGAAGAATCCAATAAAAGTTATTCTAATTCAACTTTATATACCAAAAATACAATGATCAATAATCAATTGAATAATGTATATTGTGATTATTTGGATCCAGATCATATAATAGATCATAATGATTACTTAAAACAAATAGTCGTATCTAATAGTAATCATTCTTATTCAACAATGAAAATGAATAATGATGATTATTGTTTTGATATAAACAATATTGACCATCATATTATTGAAATTCAACAGATAAATGATGAAGACATTGAGAAAGAATCAATAATTGAAATGGATTATAATATGAATAAACTTGAAAATCAATCTATTCAATCTATACAATCCAATCAAAATTCAAGAAGAATACAATCACAATTACATGATATTACAAGTCCTATTCTAATTGATTTAGATGAAATCACAAATCATTTCACCTATTCCCATAAACCATTATGTAATTTGATTGATCTATCAATGGATCCAGTTCAATTACAACAGAATTATGAAAAGAATCATTCTAATCATAGTATATATCATATAAATTTAAAGAATGATAGCATAGAAACAAAATTATATCCAATATCACCATATTTATCATCCACTAATAGTTTAATTAGTATCTATTCATCTAGTATACCTTATGAACAATCATTAAATCAAATAAAACCTCCATTTTGTTATGATCATTATGATCATGTTAGAAGAATGGATCATAATCAAATTGATCCTATTCATAGACAAACTTCTACTCCTATTCATACTACTACAACTAGTACTACAACTGCTACTACTAATGCTACTACTACGACTAGTACTACGAGTACTACTACTACTACTACTACTACTACTACTACTACTACTACTAATACTACTCATAGTAGTAATAATCCACCAATAGAATCTTATCGTATCTATCATCCTATAAAATTATCATCATCTAAATTGATTAATATTCATGATATTGATTTATGTCGTGAACGTATAGAATGTCATCGTGAAAGTAAAGCAGCTAGAACATTATCTATTATTACTGGTTGTTTTTTATTATGTTGGTTACCATTTTTTTTACAAACACTTATTATATCATTTTGTTTATCAAATTGTTATATTAATCATTATATAAGTAGTATATTTTTATGGTTAGGTTATTTAAATTCATTATTAAATCCAATATTATATACAATATTTGCACCAGATTTTAGAAATGCTTTTAGAAGAATACTCTATCATATATGGAATACATTGAAAATAAAATAATGTAATATAAAAGATTCATACTGATTTGTATTGAATTGATTCACTTTTATTTTTTCTATTAGATCCTATGACCTGTATTAGTCCTGACAATGATGTTCTCTCAGTTGATCCAACTTTCTTTTGAAAGAGTCAATGGATAGACACACAACCATGTACTGAGGTAATAAATTCCATTTGTTGATGATTCGATAAGAAAGTCGATAATCAACTGACAAGTAATTTATTCTGGGCTTGTGAACTTTTGTTTTTTTTTTTTTGTTTTTTTGGAAGACAAGCAATTTAAAAATTGTAATCAAGTCGCCTCTAGATCTACGATATGACTATGGGAATAGGTTTAGATTGGTCAGTCTAGCATTATACGGAAGCTTCACTATTTCGGGAATTAACTTAGTTGCTGTTCTCTGAACCTTTTCTAAAAGTTCATTGTCTTTTTTTTAAGCAGGGGCTAGCCGCTTGTATACAGTACTTAAGTTTAGGACGTACGAACACTGTATACAAAGTCAAAAACGTTTGAGCGTTGACATGAATAAAAGCCCTACGTATTGACCATAAAGTTCTAAAACCTTTGGCAGCTATTATACGGCAGTGTGCAGTAGTCTTTAAGTCTTGGTTAACGATAACTTCTAAGTCATTATGTATCTGGACAACAGGTAGCTCAGTGTTATTCATTGTGTATGTATCTGTACCTTGATGATCAATATGCATCACAACATACTTGGAAGTATTTATCGGCAACTTCCAGGTATGAGACCATTCAGATAATTTCTTTAGGTCATTTTGGAGTTCTAAGCTATCATCCTTAAGAGATTACAAGTTCATCTGGTCTATGAATGGAACAAACACTTTGTGAATAATGATCAATAAGTTAATTATTCTGATGCGTCCCATCCCTCGCTAACCACAGCAAAAGAGAGAGAGAGGGAAAAGTTGAAGTTTGAAACGATTCGATATCATTCTCTAAATTTGGTGAAACGCGAAGCCGATGAATATGGTGTTCTAGCAGACATTGTCAACAGAGAATGTAAACGGTTCAAGTTGCGCTCGTTGACAAAAAACCAATTTAAATGCTCAATATTCATCAAAGCTGTTCAGTCACGACAAGATGCTGAGATCAGGGCTAGACTTTTCACTCGACTGGATCAAGACCCAAACGTCACGCTCAGAACATTGACAGATCAGTGTAAACGGCTACAAAGCATCAGACACTACAACGAGTTGATTGAACAGGTATATCCTAATTTTACCTACAGTAGTGTCAATGTTATTACTAGGTTAAAAGTTCAGAAGCCGATAACAACTCGTAACAAACCAACGACTGCATGTTGGTTATGTGGCGATTGGCATTATGTACGATTCTGTCCATTTAAGAAGCATAAATGTCGGATGTGCAACAAACGTGGATATAAAAAAAGGTCATTATCCACCGAATCGTACGCCTATGCTCCTGTGGAGCAGTACCCATCCACGATTCCGCTTCGCAAGATTCGAGTCTAGGATCTATCAGCCTCGCACGCGAGCGCTTAACCACTAGAACACTGAATTGTCCAGCATCCAACGATGAAGCTATTGATTTTAGAAAAATTCTATATGGCATGTTGAATACATTGAAATCAAAACAATAAAAATGGATAAAAAGATTAATCTGTTTTGTATGAACAATATCCTTGTTTTGATAGATTCTCTTTTCAGATCCTACAATTCTGTTATATTTGAAGTGATTACAAGTTCATCTAGTCTGTGAACAGAACAGAGACTCTGTGATTAAAGACCAATAAGTTAACTATTTAGATGAGTCCCAGCCCTCGTTAACTAGAGAGAGAGAGAGAGCAAAAAAAAAATCCAAGTTTGAAACGGGGAAATATATTCCGCAAGCAGGCCGATAGCACGAGCAATCACAACGATAAGTCTAGTCGGTAATATATTGGTTTGTACACCCATTTTTGAGTAATAATCAGAATAAATCACATATTTAAAAAATAATTCACACAAGAATACAAAATGTATTGGAATAGGTGTTGTGGAGATTGTAGTAATTTCAATAATTGTGATCATAAGTCAATTAAAGCTGGACCAACATAGTAAACTTGGGAGTATTGGATAGTCGTTTCGTCCTATTGTGAAACTTTTCAGCAGTGCACATCCACGGTTTCACCTCTCGAGATTCGAACCCAGGATCTGTCGGTCTCGCACATGAGCCCTTAACCACTAAACCATTGAGCTGGCATCCAACGGTACTACAATCTCTACAAGACCCCTTCTAATACTAATCAACATATCCTTACTAGTGACTGGCTTCAAGATATATATCCTGGAGTTATAGTGAGAAGGAGTGACCCGTGGAGTTCAGCTGGGTCTGTTATGAGATAGTAACTCACTAAAGACAATATGTGGATGTGTCGCTCAATTTCGTGGATGAGTTGAAGTTAGACATTAACACCATTGGATGCTGGCAGGTTCAGTGATCAATAGGTTAAGCACTCGCACGCGAAAACCGTAGGCGGGATTGTGAATGCACACTGACGAAGAGTCTCACAATAGGACAAAACGGCCATCCAGTGTTTCCAGGCTTTCCATGTTGATCTAGCTTCAACTGACTTATGATCTTAACTTTTGAAATATAAAATGTCATAGGGGAAAACGAAACAAATGCTATACTGAATGATCATGAAATTAATGTTGAATAAAAATGATAATCAATAAATCAATTTAATTTTGACTTTTCATCCCATTATAACAAATTTATATATCCACTTTATGTTCTACGGATATAGTTGGAGATGATCTAAACACCTTGCATAATACTCTTAGAGAGAATGGTTATTCTAGAAAGTTTATAATTAAATATATGATCATGTAGGTGAGAATAAGCGAAATGTAAACAGCAAAGAAGAAATCCCTCTTCATGAGCTTATAATTCAGAGGGGATACAGCTAGTGAAATATTAACTGAAAGATTACGTAATCTTTCAATGGTGGAGAACTAGGATTAGTATTTTCTATGCGCCTAATAAGGATACCGAGGCTAAAAGATGAATTACCTAGAATAATCACCTGATTTTGAATTTGTCTGTTCGACTGCTCCTGTGGAACAAGTGATATTGGTCGAAGCTCTAGGAATTTATATTTTTATACTCCTTGGACAAGTTTCCTAGTGTGGCTTAACAAAGATTCGATGAAAAAAGTGAACAACTTGATATTGGCTTATTTAATACAAACTAGTCATAATACCAGTATAAACTAATCTTTTTTAATTATTTATAGGGTTAGTAATTTAGTTTTTGCTAAAACTTGTCAGACTTAATGTACTTCATACAGCTGAAGTAGTTAGTAGTGAACCGGATATGAAGAAACCGAAGTTATACATACAGAAGAAATATCTTCAATCAATTAACCTCCTCCTCCTCCTCCTCTGGCCAACCTCAAGACCAATGAATCAATAGTAATCTTAATTATTGAATGACCTCATTTGACTATTGTACTTATGACCTTTCATAGTCAATTGTAATTGTCTTTATTAGTAATCTTCCCTATACATGGTTCATTCATTTCTCATTCATCCCATCTTATTATATCTTACTAATAATTGTTTACACAATACAGTCTTCCATTATACATTTGATCGAATCGTAATCACACTGATATTTCACTCTTATCCTATCTGATCCATATTTATTGGGATCATGGATCATGGATCATAAATTTTCATTTAACATAAATGTATAGGTTCAAGTTAACATTCCATATAAGTCATAACAACATGAACAATTTTATTCTAGTCTAGATCGAATGCTATCGACCAAGTTGCAATGTGGCCACTAGTCTAGGTGACTCGACATTATGTGAACTATGTTGAGATAAGATGGTGGTTAGAGGTAGTCAACAAAAACCCTGGATCCGGGTTTCGTGCTATTTCGCACTCGTCAACAAGGTGTACCTGTGATCTCGAGTCACCTAGACTAGTGTCCACATTGCAACTTGGTCGATAGTATTCGATCTGCATTAAAAAGGACCTGACATACATGACAATGATCACCACTCAGTGATCAATCAATTGTGATTACATATCAGTCCTATAGGAGATCGGTCGCGACCCGGATAGCCCAATGGTAACGTCTCTGACTGTGAAGTTGAATGACGCGGGATCGAATCTATCAGGGAACACAAGTTCCCTCAAGATTGCAGGTATACTTTGCTGGCGAGCGCCGAATAGCACGAAACCCTGGTCTAGGGTTTCCTGTTGACTACTTCCAACCCACGATGTAATATACTTTATCCTTAACCTGACCAGTTTTTGGGGATACATGTATTGTAGAACCTGAAGACGATTGATCGAAAAGAATATTTACCATTTATAGATTAGTCTTCTTAATATAATGAGGATCTTAAAACGAACCAAAAAAAAAAGAAAAACATCGTTACATTTCATTCAAATGTAATTCGTCTCTATTTTATTGCCTTTGGCCCTAAGTGATTATCGATTGACAGAGAGGGAGGGAGAGAGAGAGAGAAATAAAATTTTTATTATGATCTCATTGATATCTTTGATGAAATTTATTGAAATCAAACTAAATTATTCTAATCAGAGAAGGTTATTTTATGTGAATATGATAGTCATTTAATAGTTCAATTCATGAATCAATTAAATCTAGACTAACATGAAAGACTTGAAAGTATTGGACAGCCATTTCATTTTAGTATTGGATTCCTCCTAGGTAATGCACATCTATGATCTCATCTTGTAAGATTCGAAGCTAGAACTTTTGCTCTCCCATGTGAACACTTCATATTTACACCACTGATTTGGCCGGTATTCAATAGTGTTAATGTCTAATGTCAACCAACTCATGAAATTGTATCATCATTCATCATGTTACTTGGTTTATTTTTTGTTTATCTCAATTATTATTAAGAAAAAGAAGAAGAAGAAGAAGAAGAAGATAATTGTTTCATCTATTCATGATTATTATTCTATTTATTACAAGGTAAAGTTATTTATAATAAATGAAGTTAATCAATTGAACTTAAATAAACAGTAGAATAATTATGATAATTATTCAAATTGAATTGAATTCATTGAATCTATTCATTGTGGACAACTCTATCAAATTCAACAAGGTCATATAATCATTTATTTGTCTTAGTAACTAAGATATAGAACCGTTTAATAACACTCTCCCTCCCTCCCTGCCTCCCCCTTAGAATATTTTTAATTTTTTAAAAAAAAACAACAAAAAGAAACGAAAAGAAAAGCAAAGAAAAGAAGAATATTTAAATGAACAATGATTTTATCATCAGGCTCTATAGTTTAAAGTCTATATTATTATTGGGATAGTTTATAAAGGACAAAATAAGGCATGTATTTGACAATAATATTATATATAAACATTTGCAACTGTTACTATATAGATATTTCAAAATTATAATTAAAACAAGGTATAAGATTGATCTTAACTAGTTAAAGTTAGACATTAACACCGTCGGATGCAGATCAGCTCAGTGGTTTAGTGGTTAAGTGCTTACGCGCGAGACCAGTAGGCCCTGGGTTCGAATCTTGCAGGGGGCGAGGTCGTGGATGCGCATTGCTGAGGAGTCTCACAACGGGACGAAACGGCTGTCCAGTGCTTCCAGGTTTTCCATGGAAGTCTAGCTTTAGCTGACTCATAGTCTCAATTAATGAAATTACTACAATCTGCACAAAACCCCTTCTGATATTGATCTTAACTTAGTTTTTGTGGTGTTGTATAAAAAAGGGCGAATACTAAGGTTTATTGTAGCCTTAACCAAACGAAAATTCAACCCCCCCCTTTGTATATTTAAAAAACAGTTTGTTCTCACTTTAGACCTACCCTGATAATATTGACTTATTATCCAGAGTGATTAGATTTCGAATGGTGTTCACATTATTATTATTATTGTTATTATTATTATTACTCTTAATATTATTGTCTTTGTCTCCCTCTTACCTTCCATTTCCACTCTAATTGACCATTTATTTTTCATATATAACTGTCCTTAAAAAGTATGTAATGTGTGATCAGATTGTTCGAAATGTATTGCACTAATATATTATTACATAATTCTGATAATCTTCGTCTTCTTATTACACTACTGAAATTCATCAAAGGGACTAAATGCTATGAATTTCATGTTGTTAATCGAAGTAATAATAACAATATCAGTAATATCTTTAATAAGTAAAGATGGATAGCAGATAACAGTGGAATCTAGGATGAGCGATACTTCGTCTTATTTGTAACTCTTTAGTTGGATGTACCTTCATTTCAGAGTTGACATTCATTCTTAGATTCGAACCCAGTAACGTTTGCTTCAAACGTCATAGCGTTATCCGCTTAGCTACAGAGTCCTGATAACCACTTGCTTGTGCAATGGGATAAAGTTTAAATTCACTTCATGATCAACATCAATAGGAAGATTCAAGTAAAGAATATCAAATGAATATGTTTAATAGTTCAAATCATGAGTCAATTGAAACTAGACCAACAAGGAAAATTTGGAAGCACTGGACAGCCGTTTCATCCTATTGTGAGACTCCTCAACAGTGTATATCCACGATTCGGCCTCGCGAGATTTTAACCCAGGACCTATGAGTCTTGCGTGCAAGTGCTTAACCTCAAGACCACTGAGTTGGCAGGCATCCAACTGTATTATTATCTAACTTCAACTCATCCACGAAATTCACTGACACATCTACCATTGTCTTTAATGAGTTACTGCCTCACAACAGACTTGGTTGAACTCCACTGGTCACTGCTTCTCATTAAAACTTCAAGAAATACATCTTGAAGCCAGTCACACTTGGTATTGTTTATTTGAAGCTTCTCATTGATATCTAGAACTGTACGAATTACATATAGACTTAATTCACAGCATTATATGCAAAGATAAATAGTGGCTAACACTGAACATTAACTCTATGATCCAGGTACATCCTACTGACGAGTTTCAAATACGACTAAGTGTCGCAAGTCTTAGATTCCACTCCCAGCCACTTTAGTAAGCTTAGATATGTAGTTCAACAATAAAAATTCAATAGTTCAAATCATGAGTCAATTGAAGCTATACCATCATGGAAAACCTGAAAGAAATGGACAGCCGTTTCGTCCTAATATGGAACACCTGAGCAATGCGCATCCACAATCCTGACCATCTCGAGATTCGGACTTAAGATCTATCCGTCTCGCGCACGAGCTCTTAACCATTAGACCACTGAGTCGGTCATCATTCAACGGTGTTATTGTCGAACTTCAACCAATCCACGGAATTTCGCCACTGTACACTATTGTCTTCACTGAGCTGATATCTCACAACAGACCTAATTGTACTCCACTGATCACAACTTCTCACTAGAATTCCAGAAAAAATGCTTCTAGATATCAGTCACTAGTGAACAGATGATTATGATCAAAAAGGATTTTCTGAAAATTTTACTCATTTCAATCATTGAAATCATAAATCAATTGAAGCTAGACCATCATAGAATATCTGGAAGTACTAGATGATCGTTTAACCATTAGTTATAAGAAACAAGAAATATAAACTGAAATTTTGTTTTATTCATTTGATTACATAACTAAATTGGAATTGATTAATTCATAACTGTAACTGAAGTTTTGTTATGATGATAAAGAAAACCTTGAAAAACAAAAACAAAAACAAAAAAAACAAAAAAAACCAAAAACAAAGTGGGAACATAAAGTTTGTTTAGTGTGTAAATTTAAAAAAAAATTGTGTTACTTTTTTTTTTGTTTTTTATTTTAGTTTTAATGATACATTGAAAGTGTCATTTAAATTTACTATTGAATTACTTTTACACAAATACTTAATCAATAATCCAATTTTGGGAAAGGATGATTGACGGAACATACATTATTGATTTATGTTGTTGTTGTTGTTGTTATGAACTTATAGTTTTGAAACTGTATTACCTGTAATGAAAATTTACTAATATTCAAGTATATTTATAAATAAAGATACATAGGAGATTATAAGCAAAGATGGATAGTGGCTAGCAGTGGAATTTAGGATGCGCATTTCGTCTTGTTTGGAACTCGTCAGCTGGATGGACCTGAATCTCAGAGTTGATGTTCACTCTAGGACTGGAACCCAGTACATTTTACTTCAAACGCCATCGTATTATTGATTGACCTACGTTTGAAATTACTACCTCATTGATATGGAGAGAAATATATGTTATGAATGATAGATGTCACTTTTAGATGGCCTTAAATGCTTTGTTACGGTCAGGAGTGGAGAGAGTCAACACTCTCTTTCGAAATGTTCTCATAGGGTCACGTGCATACAACCACTGTCAGGGAAGTCCTAATTATTAACGTCTCACAGCAGGGGTGTTGTTTACGAAATTGAGAGAACGAAGTGCAAATGTCCGGTGGAGGATCCACCTAGAGACGTTGGAAAATACTGATTCCAAACCAGGGATGTACATGGTTTCCAATATCCTGAAGGACAAAACGGCGTATGAACCAACCGTTGGTCACCGACTACCACGAGACTGCATCTCCTTGACTACTATTTGAATATTTGGTATGTCAAATCGAGATGATTCGAATAATGAATGATGATATCATTGGAACAGGGTTAAAACAGATGTATAGTTGAAACTTCTTAATTTCACTCAACTAATGTAAAAGTACTGGGATCGTTGAAAATGAATGAATGTACTCAGAACTACTGGCTAATTACACACTGTGAATTGATATTTCTCATAACTCAATAGTTTTATCATTCTTGAAATTACAGGTTTTACTAGTTTATATAACAGTCGTATAATACGTGCTGACTGGATCTGTGTGTTAAACTAGATGGTATCTAAAATTAGTCTATACGTACCTACTAGCACATCATGAGTCGGTAAAACTTAGTTTTTTCTATTCCCCCTAAATATCCTGGTACCACCGAAGGGGGTGCGAGTCAGCTCTCTCTCTCTCCAAATGCTCTCAAATGGCCACGTGTATACAGCCACTGTCAAAGAAGTACTACTCCCTGCCTTCTCTCAGCGAAGGTGTTGTTTACGGAACTAAGAGGACGTAAAGCGAATATCCGGCGCTTTAACCAGGTTAGTGGATATGGAGGATCCATCAAGAGAAGTTGGAAAACACTGATTTTAAAATTAATAGCGCAAAAGGGCTTTAGGTTCCTGACATTTTAAAATAGAATAATGGTCATGATTTTTCAGAATACTCCAGCTATAAATAAAAATAGTAAACGAACAAATTATTTCAATAAAAAACAAAGAAACCAAACATATTTCTCGTCCTTCATACTACAACATATCTGGTGCAGATGTGAAGGCACGGATCGGCAAAGCAAGAGCAGCATATTTACAACTGAAGAATATCTGGAACTCAAAACAATTGTCAACCAACACCAAGATCAGGATTTTCAATACCAATGTCATAACAGTTCTACTGTATGGGGCCGAAACCTGGAAAACCACGAAAGCCATCATCCAGAAGATACAGGTGTTTATTAATGGTTGCCTACGCAAAATACTTCGGATCCGTCGACCAGACATTATTAGCAACAACCTACTATAGGAGAGAACAAACCAGATTTCAGTGGAGGAAGAAATCGGGAAGAAGTGCTAGAAGTGGATGGGACATATATTCAGGAAGGCACCCAACAGTGTCACAAGACAAGCCATCACATGGAATCCTCAAGGCCAAAGAACATGTTACGCCGGGAAATCAGGATAGACATGAGAAAACTGAACAAGAATTGGATGGAACTAGAAAAGAAGGCCCAGGACAGAATGGGTTGGAGAATGCTGATCAGCGGCCTATGCTCCATTAGGAGTAACAGGCGTAAGTAAAGTAAGTAAAGCGTGCTATAACATAGTAAAGGACTTCCAGTCCCTTAAAGAAGATTTTGATGACAATGTTATCTATCATAATTTCTCAGGAAAATAATTGACACATTAGGGACTATCAGAACGGGATTTTGTGAAGATTTTAATAATTTCAATAGTTAAAATCATGAGTCAATTGAAACTAAACCACCATGAAAAACCTGGTCACTGGTTTAATGGTTAACCGCTCGCGCGCAAGACTGATAGGTTCTGAGTTCGAATCTCGCGAGGGGCAAGATTTTAGATGCGCATTGCTGAGGAGTCCCATACTAGGGTGAAACGGCCGTCCATTACTTACAAGTTTTCCATGGTGATCTAGCTGATTATATTGATTGATTTCGAACGATTCACTAGAAAACTTCTATATAAAATACAAGTATATATTCAAAATAATCTAACGTAATGCTATTGTAGTGAATGAGAACACCAGTGGGGACAATCGAATATATTTGGATATAGCATTACAGAATCAATTAGTAAAATCGGGGCATTATACAGTGAATACTTCATATGCCAAATGTCATTCAATCATCTCAGACTTTATTGTTCTTTCATTTCTACACCAATCATTCTTTGTTCTTATTCTCTTTTCTTTGATATTCTGAAGCTTCTGTCACCAGATATTTCAGTTCCAATTGATGGTACATACTACTTATATCTGTCGATATCAGTAGCACAAATCACACACGAGTAAAAACTTGAATTTGCAATATGCGGTATGAAATTGTATTGTATTGTTATACCACAGATTGTAACATAAAATACAGTATTTAATTGTACAGTAAATGTATTACTTATCCAATCCATCCACTATATGTTGGCTGTCTGTTTACATGTCAATGATCTAGTCCTGCTATGTCAATAGACTGAAGATGTCGTGGAACTCCATATTGATGATGACATCTTATATTGTTAAGACAGCTCTGAAAGTTTTACTATGAAATGTATCCCATTATCAGTTATTAATACATTAGATACTCATTCAAGACTAAATATTTTCCTCATTACTATTTGAATAAAGTTTCTGTTAGGACTGTATGTCCTACATACATTATGCAAATCTTCAAACTGCATCACGAGACAAGCCCTAACTTGGAATCCTGAAGGGAAGCAGAAAAGATGCAGGCCAAAGAACACATTACGTCGGGAAATAGAAACAGATATGAAAAGGATGAATAAGAACTGGAAACAGCTGGAAAGGATTGCCCAGGACAGGGTTGGATGGAGAATGCTGGTGAGTGACCTATGCTCCTTCACGAGGAGTAACAGGCGTAAGTAAGTAAGTAAGTAAGTAAGTAAGTAAGTAAGTAAGTAAGTAAGTAAGTAAGTAAGGACTGTATGTGAGTACTACTTCTGATCATTAGGAATATGAGTGAAAAATAACTAGAAGAGAATATGAATTTAAAGATGTACCACAGTAATCTACATGGAAACATTATCAGAGTTATGTAATATATTTGCGTAATACATTTCGAACAATCTGATCATACATAATATACTCGTCAAGAACATTTATATATGAAAATTAAAAGGTCAACTAAAGGTAAGTCGTAACAAACAAAAGAAAATATTAAAGTACACAAAAACAATCTGATTACCACTCTGGATAATAAATCAGTATTACCAGGGTAAGTTAAGGGTAAGGACAAATTGTTTTTGAATGCATAAAAGAGGTTTAAGTTTCCGTATAGCCAAGGCTTCAATAAACCTTAATATACGTCTTTGAGATCGTTTGTACAAAACTAGTTCTTGTGAGGAGCAGTAACCAGTAGAGTTCAACTGGGTCTATTGTGAGTCAGTAACTCATTGAAGACAATAGTGGATGTGTCACACAACTTCGTGGATGATTTGAAGTTAGACATTGACACCGTTAGATGCTGGCCATGTCAGTGGTCTAATGGTTAAGGGCACGCGCGCGATACTAATAGATCCTGAGTTCGAGTCTCGCCAGGCGAGATCGTGGATGCACACTACTGAGGAGTCTCATACTAGGATGAAGCGGCTGTCTAGTACTTCCAGATGTTCCATAGTGATCTAGTTTCAGTTGACTCATAATCTCAACTATTAAAACTACAAATGCTGACTTGATATCAATCTTATGACCGGTCTATATCAAATGTTTCGCAATGGAGCATGATATCTATCTATCCTATGATCTTATTTAACCATTCTAAATAGGTTTATTACATATTAGTTTATACGAACAAGCAAGATAGTTTTACGATTTCACACTTATATTCACATTTATCATAGGTCATTACTAATTTTAATGAGGAATAGATTTTATTTTTCCTACTTCACGATAATCATCTAATACTATACATCTCATGGTTGTGGAATTCATAAATTCACCAACAAAACACACACACACACACAAAGCAAACAAACAATCAATATAATTAGGACATCTTGATAGTTGACTTTCTTTTTTTTTCTCTCTCTCTCTTTCTCTTTAACAGATCGAAGTATCTAAGTATAAAGGAATCAGTTTTGATATAATAAATTTCTACTTATAACTATTGATTCATATTTGGTGAAGGAAGTTACCATGATTTATTACAGTTACTATTTTTCTATTTTTTTTCACGGGGTGGTGATGGTAGTGGTATCGTAAATCTTGTTGTGATAAATCAAATTTATTATCTTATTATTTTTCTTTTTTTCGGGGAGGGGGGAGGGGATGGATTCATGAATGACACAATACTTAATATTGTAAATTTTAAATCTATCAATGTATACACATGTATGTTAGTGTGTAGTCAGGGTAACAATGTAGATAGATACAGTAACTTTAGAGAATTATTGATATCATGGTATATATGAATAGAATAAATATAATGCTATAGTACTGAACGAGAATACAAATGATGGCAATCGAAAGTATTCTAATGCAAACTTATAGGATATATCATATGGGTTTTGTGGATATTATAGTAATTTCAATGGTTAAGATCATGAGTTAACTGCTCGCGCGCGAAAACAGTAGGTCCTGGATTCGAATCTCGCAGGGGACGAGGTCGTGGATGCGCACTGCTGAGGAGTCCCACAATAGGACGAAACGGCCGTTCAGTGCTTTCAGGTTTCCCATGGTGGTCTAACTTCAAATGACTAATGATCTTAACCATTGAAATTATAGCATATATCCTAAGGGAAATCTAAGAACCATATAGTAAATACATAATTTGTAAAATATTAATCAATCGTCTCAAATTTGACTATTCTTGTATTTTCATATCAATTGTTTTCTGTCCTTGTTCTTTTTCATTCTGATCTTTTCAATCTTTTGCTGTTAGACATTATATATTCCTAAAACGTGTTATATACTACTGATATCGTTATAAAAGGCATATATCACACTATAGGTCCAGATTTATAAGCACTATAATAAGTAATATAAATAAGTAACATGTGGATGAGGACTGCTGAGGAGTCCCGGAATAGGACGAAACGGTCGTCCAGTGCTTTCAGGTTTCCAACGGTGGTCTAACATCAATCGGTTCATGATCTCAATCAAAAACTTAACAATCTCCACAACTCCTAAAAAACTGGTAATTACCATGTGCTCACTAGTGACTAGCTTCGTGTGAAAATTCTCGAAGTTCTAGTGAGAAGCCATGACCAGTGGAGCTAATCCGTGTCGGGTAGAGACAGGTATCTATCTCAGTACAATAGAAGATGATCGCGCAATTTCGTGAATTGGTTGATGTTAGACACTAAGACCACTGGATGCCGGCCGGCTCAGTGGTCCAGTAGGTTAAGTGTTCGCTCACGAGACTGAAGGCCCTGGGTTCGAATCCCTCGAACGGGATCGTGGATGCGCACTGCTGAGGAGTCACACAATAGGACGAAATGGCCGTTCAGTGCTTTCAGGTTTCTAACGGTGGTCTAACATCAATCGGTTCATGATCTCAATCAAAAACTTAACAATCTCTACAACTCCTAAAAAACTGATAAAACTATTATATTTAATATATTTTTTTTAAATAATAAATGAATTGATTATCCTAGAATTAATGATAGTATGTATAGTATACTTGTTATATTCTGACGAGAATAATGGGTGGTAACTGTTGGGATGTATTTCTGGACCAATAGGATACATATATTTTGTATTGTATAATTGTTAAGTACCTATACTATGCATATTCATATTCCTCTTATTATAAGCTTTATTTTGACTTAAAGACTATTATTATACCATTCACCATTCTTAAGTTATTCCCAGTTTATTAATTACAATCTCCCACATATACAGCCACTTTTTGGCTAGATCTATTTTATGATACGATGTGGTCTGCTTGGCTTGTATATAAACCTAGTATGTTTGAAATATACGATTCAAATTGCGGAGGCTGGAATTTGTGTTCTAGACTTAACAGGCAGGGAAAAAGGATCAATCAGGACTTTAAGCCGTTTGTTCAGGTGTATGTGTCATTCGTTGGTCGTATAAGTCTGCGTATCTAAATTTGGCATTTGTATAAGTTAAGAACACAACATTGATAGATCTTTCTAGCCTTAGAATCACAAGTACGAGCTCAAACTAATACGGCCTCAATTGTTGACAACAGAAACATATTCGTATAATTTCAGATCTCCTTGTTCAAATAAAATTACAACCAAGAGCTTATTGTTGTACAGGTACACATTACGGATGAGAGTGGATAGTCTTTCCTCATTTGTTTATTTATTTATTTAAACACACAGACAATGGAGGAAGTAAATAGATTATGCGCCATACTTCGTCATTCGATTTGGTTTTCCCCAAACAATCCCTTAGTTTCATTAGGTCTCACGTCCATACAATTTAAATGAATAATTAAGTGAGCTTTGTACTGAAGGATGAGATATGACTGACAAAAAGATTTAATAACGCTTACCTTCCTGATGATTTTTTAAGGTTCCATCAATTTGTGAATTGGTTTGAAGAGAAGTCAAATTAGTAGAACTAGCAGTTGTCCCTAACCCACCAACAGGTATTAATTCGCCATCAGGTTGTCTAGCAGCAGTTCTCATTACTTCGTACACAACTGTTTTCCCATGACGTAAAGCCTGACCTACGACATTAATAAGTCGATTAGGAGGTTCATCCGGTAATAAAGTTAAATTTGCTGCAGCAGCTAAAGCTTCACGTTCAGCAACAGATGCTTGAAAAGCTTCTGTTGAAATTATTTTCTTTGGTTTTTTACGCATCGTACCTGTAGAAACTGAACAAGAGTTCATTTGTAAATGTGACTTTTCTAAAGATTCATTCATTTGATTTTCAGAATTTTTTTCAATATGATTATTCTCTTTACAATAAGAGTCATCTTTCTCTTTTGTATCTAATTCACTGTCAGTGACAGGCAAAGCTAGGCACAACGAATGATTATTAAAGACTCTAGACTGCTTGTACAGATTTTATGTGTCATTGGTCAGGTCGATATATCACTGTTCTCTAACCAGCGGTATCATCACATTATATAATAATAGAGCACAAGGCCACAAGTTATAATAGAACTCATTCAGTGATTAATTTCTATAAACATTCATTTATTGTACTCAGACAAATCATAATGAATCCAAGGACTCAAAATTCATTACTAGTTAACCATACGGTACTTCGAGTACTAAAAATAGGCTCTTCTAATACTGAAGAGTTAACAGGTAATGCTTTTAGCTTGTATTATATAGTGTTAAACAAATTGTACAAATCAACTTTCTTCTTTTTTATCACAAATCTATTTGATAAGATTATAATTTATGAATGACATTTAAACGACTCTAAACTGACCTTAAGAGTATCCACCTACTAATAACTAGGACCAAATAAAGGTTATAAATTACTATAAAGAATTCGACTTATGATTTATAGTTGATGATTAAGATTATAAATTAGGTTTATAGTTTTCATCATGAATTAACATCATCTAAAATGCCAAGATATTATTTATCCAAATGAATGAATGAATTTCGCGCCATCATCCCAGATCTGTTATCTTTAATGTGATTGGTTCATTCATAAATTATTAACCTCAACTTTAATAAATCAAAATAATAACTAATTGATTAGTGAACCTGTTTTAGAATGATGATTGAAAGGAACAAACTTCATTAGTATACTATAGGATAGATAAACTAAGGTTATGAAAAGTAATTTTTCAAACGTTTCTTTTGGTTATATTCAAATGAAGAATAAATGAGTGGTAACTGTCAAGAATTATCTATGAACTATTAGTACATAAATTCTTATTGGATCATTGTGAAGTATCAGTATGGAGTTGTTGTGGAAGTTTAACATCAATCGATTCATGATGTTAATAAAAAAAAAGCCTAACAAATTTCATAATCCCATACTAATAATTATCATATGCTCATTAGTGAGTAGATTCGTGATGGAATTCTAGAAGTACTAATAAGAAGCTGTGACCAGTGGAGCTAATCCGTATTAGGTAGCGAAAGGTATCTACTTCAGACAATGGAAGATGATGGAACAATTTCGTGAATTGATTGAAGTTTGTGATCTAAAGGTAAAATGTTCGCGCGCGAGACAGAAGGTCCTGGGTTGGAATCTCGTGGGGGGGGCGGTACCGTGGATGCGCACTGCTGAGGAGTCTCACACTAGGACGAAACAACTGTCCGGTGCTTCCGCGTTTTCTATCATGGTCTAAGATCAATGGATTCATGATCTCGATGTAAAAAATATTAAGTAGCTAGATTATGTATATAGTCCATATTTCCTTTTATCATTAACTTTCGTTTGACTCATCATCTACTGTTCTTACTTTATTCACAATCTATTATGTACAGTCTCCTCTAATCACAGACACTTTTGGCTTGATATTGTGTAACCACTATTTTTCATTTTATGATGTGATGCCGTCTAGTCTGTTTGTATATAAACAACGTATATGTTTAAGATATGTTTTCCATACAGTGCCGACTGATGATTTATTTAGAACTCAACGAACAGGGCAAAAAGAGAAGCTACTATATTAAGGACCAATAAGGATTGAGAGTTGACTGAAGACCACCAGTGCTAGTTGATATATTATTGGTTAGTTCAGAGATAAGGTTATAGAAATTAACATTCTAATTGGTGATATTGTGACCTGATATTTGATAGGGATATTAGTTATAAAACATTTATTGCCTTGAAATAATTCATCATTTATCCTCTATTCACATATTTTATTATGTTTAACATTCAGAAGTTTGATCAAATAACTGTTTCAACACTGTGGAGTTATAAGTTCTAACGATCTATCCAATAAGAATGTGAACTGATATTCTTAGAATTATGGAGAAAAGATAAAAAAACTCAAAGAAAAGACAATGTATCTTTTATATACACAGATATATCAAGAATATTCCAAAGTCCTAGTATATATCAGATGGTGATTGGAGCTAGTCGACAGGAAACCCTGGACCCGGGTTTCCTGCTACTTGGCACTCGTCAGCAAGGTGTGCCTGTAATCTTTGAGGGAACTGGTGCTCCCTGGCGGATTCGATCCCGTGTCACCCACCTTCACAGTCAGAGGTGTTACCACTGAGCTATCCGGGCTGCGACTGACCTCCTGTAGGACTGAAATGTAGTCACAATTGATTGAACACTGGGTGGTGACCAATATCATGCTTGTCTAGTCCTTATTATTAGTGCAGATCGAATGCTATCGACCATGTTGCAATGTGGCCAGTAGTCTAGGTGACTTGACACTGCGTGCATTATGTTGAGATAAGATGGTGGTTGGAGGTAGTCAACAGGAAACCCTGGACCTGGGTTTCGTGCTACTTGGCACTTGTCAGCAAGGTGTACCTGTAATCTTTGAGGGAACTGATGCTCCCTGGTGTATATCAAATGATTTTATTCAATGTTAGCAGTAAATGAATGTTCTACACTAGGATGCTTCCAAGTTTTCCATGATGGTTTAGCTTTAGTGGACTCATGAACTCAATTATAGAATGTGGATGTACACTGCTGAGGAGTCCCACAACAGGACGAAACGACCGTCCAGTGCTTCCAGGTTTCTAACGCTAGTCTAACATCAATCGATTCATGCTCTTATTCAAAAACTTACTAATTTCCACAACCCTATAGTGAGAATGTGATATAATTGAATTCAAAATAACTCTCTTCATGGCAATAATACTATTTAGTATATAAAAATATGGAAAGAGATTAGTTAAGCGACATTGATTATATAAACTTTATATTACTTATAACCAGTTTTAAAACGATAGTAATTTATTAGTTTATTATTATTATTATTACTGAAATGAAATCTCAGTAATAGATTAAATACCATATTATAAGTTTTAAAATCACATCCAAATGACCTAGTACGAGCATAGATGAAGAGATTCTGCTCTCCCTATCAAAATACTGTCACATCGTCACGTGTATATAACCATTGTCATGGAAGTCCTACTCACTGACTTCTCGTGATGCGGGTGTTGTTCACGAAAATGAGAGGATGAAAAGCGAATATATGGCGCTTTAATCGGGTTAGTGGATACGGAGTATCCACACCTATAAGGGTTTAAAAACCCTGATTCCAAACTAATAGTGCATATAGGCTCCAGGATCCTGAGAGTATAAAAGGCGTATGAACCATATGTTGGTCACCGGCTACCATAGGACTGCATCTCCTAACGTTGCTTCACTCTCTTGTGGATTAAACCTCTAGGTTAAAGGCTGGGAGTGTAATCCCTTATGAAAGTCACTTGCTTCGGTTTGGGCAGCCGGTTAGAATTCCAGCCGTCATACGAATCTAATGATTTCGAACTATGAGTTTACAAAGTACAAGGTATTGTAATCAACAAAATTAATTAGATCCTTGTGAATTCTGTAGTTATTATCCATTAACCGGTTAATTTAATTTGTAAAATTGTATTAGTATTATTACAAGGTCAAGGATTTTGTTATAAACATTGAATACGCACTGTTGAGGAGTCCTACAAGAGGACGAAACGGCTATCCAGTACTTCCAGGTTTTCCATGGTGATCTAGTTTCAATTGACCGATGATCTCAACTATTAAATTATTATAATTTCCACAAAAGCCCCTTTCTGATATTAAGAAAAATAACTTTAAATTCATCATTATCATCCATGAATGTTTTATTAATCAGGATATCAATATAATTGAAAATTATCTGTATTGTATTGTTCTTCGCAAAATTATCACAACTCAGCCTCTATCAGTATTATTATAAAGTTAATTTTATACTTTCAGAGTTTTACTGAGAAGCTTCAACTAGTGTGTCGAGTGTGAAGCAGTTACCCACCGAAAACAATGGAAGATGATCGTGCAATATCGTGGATCGATTGAGGATGCACATTAACAATGTTGGTTCCCGGCTCAGTGGTCTAGATATAAAGCGTTCGCGCACAAGACCGAAGATGATGGGTTCTATTTCCGAGTGCGGAGTCATGTAAGCCACCTACTGACGAGTCCCATACTAGGACGAATAGGCCGTTTGGTGTTTTCAGTTTTTAATGGTGATCCACTATTTTTCGGTTTATCATGTGAGATAATAATAGTTGTTTATTCTGCCTCATAAACCGCATCGATTCTAGTGACATATTGTAATCTACAAATGAAAGTAGGTAAATGAGAATGTATACTCAGTGATCATCGAATCCATGAATTAAATATACTGTAATCGTCCATATAGCCCGCCTCCAGTACTGCCTTCCCACAACAGAATGAGGATACAAAAGGCCAACCATGAAAACAGAACACTTTATTTTCGATAACCATCTTTCTCGTCGCTAACAAAGTTAGAACTACTCAAAAAAACACAGTGTATAGCCGGCCTTAAGCAGTTATTCTTTAGCTGTGAAGTCACAATCCTAATTAGACAAGACAACCATTAATCCAATTTAGTCTTCATGTTTATCAAGAAGTGCCCCCTCCCCAGCCTGGAAAGTCGTTCGTACATCTTTAATAGCAATGAAACAAAGTTACTGTCTGATATCATCATAACTTCCGAGCATCTTTTCTATTTTCATCAAGGGTTTCTGCCTACTTCCATATCTTATTAGCGTTAACCATCTAAGATCACAAAATGAATTACAATGTCCCTTGAGATCGCGCTTGAAGCTGTAATACCGGAGTATTCAACATCTAAATACCAGATCAGATAGAGCGACAATCGTAATCAGTGAAACGTCTCATAGCACCAATTTATGCTGCACGTCTGATTTTAAAACAAAATGTGCTTCAAAACTACTCTTTATCAACATATAGGCGAGTGGTAGAGAGTGAGGTAGTT